TCTTGGTACCATCACAAAGTGAAGCCTTGGGAGTGTTTCCTGTTCTAATTTAAAGCAGCAGGATGATTTGTCCTGTTCTTTCCTGGGAGGTAGATAGCTGTTTACAAGTAAATCTTTTTGAAAATCGGAGGATAGCAGATTTATGCCGGCTCATCATAGTTTCCCTCTCATTTTTCTTCGTAATTATGATATTTTTGAACAAGATAATGATGTGGATGTTCTTTGTGTCATTAAGAGGGTTAGGATTAAATGATTCAAAGATAGACTTGAAGTGCGTCACATAAACCCCTTAAGGTGATATTTATGCTGCCCTGACTTTTACACTGCATGGCGTCTCTCTGTTAATAGCATGCTGTAGCTCCCTTCTACTATTTATAACTGTGTCTTCCTCTTCTTTATCTCTCTCTTCCCCCCCTTTCCCATCCAATACTCTCTGCGTCATTCTATCTGTGCATTGAGAGTGTGTGTTCACTGACAGAGGTGCAGAGGCGGTTTGGATGGCAGCTGAAAAAGAAGCTGGCCTCTTTTCTTTCTGTCTCTCTGTGTCACACACTGAGCCCCAAACAGAATAACTGTTATTTAAAGACTTGAGCTGTAGTTGCTCTTTTTAAAAAAAGCCTCAAAGGGATAGATGGGTGGAGAGGAGAAAAGGAGAGATGGAGGGAAAGAACAGAGGGACCAAGGGAGGTACCTAGTGATGGAAAATGAGAGGTGGAGGAGAATGGGGATGATGTCATCCTTTAACCCTATACCACTCCCTTCTTTTTGCTCCTGCTCCCTCCTTAGATTCTTCTTCCCCGCCTTTCCTCGTCTGTTATTCTCTCTCTCCAGCAGGACTATATTTAGGTTTTTGCAGATGTGTGTTTGTGTTTTGAAGCTGTTCCAGTTTGTTGTCACTGCTCTGTCTTATATGCTGCTTCTCCTTTTACCAAATCCTCCAGCTCTTTCTACCCATTCTGACGGTCACATGACACCATCGACATGACTCATTCCCCCACATTGTCCACTTAGAAAACACCCTTTCAAATGGTAAAGACCTGGACTCAATAGAATAAAATAAATGTAAATAAAAATGTTAAAGAATATATTTAAAGATTCAAAACAGTTTTAAGAACGTCCCCGGCTGTATGATCTAATGCTCTCATATCCTGTTCCATCCCAGCTGACTCTTCAGCTGTGCAGTGATTACAAGGTGAATGGTCCCTCTGGTCTTTTGCACAGGGCACGCCGAACCTGTGATTCCATGAATCTACACACTGGCTTCCCCAAGAGAAACATGTTGTGTTATTGTTTTTTGCCCCCTTCTTCTGTATTTTTTGTTTCTAGAATCTTTTCTCTTTGATTTGAATTAAGACAGTTTAGCTGTAAAATGTTTAATCAGAATAGATTTTTCGTTAGCATTACACAATGTTTCCAGTCATTTGATGTCCCTATTCAGGCAATTTGGTTTATAATCTAAAATCTGCATGCATTTTTCAGTCTCAGCATAAATGTCTTCTTTGTATGTGTCTGAAATAGCAATCAGGGTAAGTAATTGGAAAAAAACATGACTCTCAATTTGCATTCACATCTATATAATATGCTTAATATATATAGATTAAGAAGTGGTGTATAGGAGCATTGGGATTATTTATGTGCTCTATGGGGGTCTTTAAAGTTATCTCTCTGTATAGTCATTTGAATAGTTGGAACAAAAAGAAATGTCTTATAAAAATGCAGCGTCCTGGTTTCAGGCCTGAAATGAAGAGTCATTTTTTTTGTAGTGCAGAAGAGTGTTGTACACCTGCTGTCCCTGACTCTTGATTTTAGTACTCTTGTAATAATTTGTTGGTGATGTAACTTAGTCCGGTGTGTACCGAACTGAGTTTTTCGCCAGTTAAAAAGACCGAAGAGCACACATAATTGCATGCTTAAAATGGACTTTTGAGTTCATGGTCGACGTCAAGCTCATTAGTGTGACTTATCATGACTAAAGCACCACTTTTAATTTCCCCAAAACATAAGCAGCCGTGATTAAGATCTTGCAGCACAGAAGTAACATTACAACCTGTGTAGAAAAGATAAGTGCTGACTAAGTTGACTTTCACTGAGTATTTTGCACATTTTGTGCTGTGAAATCTTAAATTGTGAATGCATAAATTGTCCACAATACAGCATGTAGCAAGATAATAGAGAATAAGTCAGACAGTTGTTTTAGTTGACTTAGCAGCTGATTTTCTTTGCCTCAGGAGGTGTAGAGGCTCACATCTCACACTTTTCCTCTCTTCTTGGCTCTTTAATTTTCTTTTCCTTGCCCTTTTCCTACATTTTTCCCGTGCATATTCCCTCTCTTTCTTTCGCCTCTGATCACACTGCCTGACGAAAACCCACATGCACAGTTTGCTCTCTTCATTTTTTCACCTCACTGTATTCTTTTTTTTTACTCAGTCCCAGCACGGCACATTTTCATACAATTACTCTCCATTAAAAATGGATTAGGTTTAACCTTCACAGTCAGTCTGCAGAGGGAAAACAGAAAAGAGGGAGAAGATGTTTAGTTAAAAAAGGTGCTTCAGAGAAATCAGAATTGAAGGAAATGAGTGTTAAATTAGGAAGGGGCAGATATGAAGGCGCCAGGTAATGGTAGGTTTGATGAGAGAAACAATTCACCCTTTGGTTTTATATATTTGGTTGTCAGAAATAGTTGGGAAAATGTGTGAACTTTGCTGTCGCGCTGGCATCCAAGAACAAGTAAGCCGCACATTACACTTCAGCTGCTCATTGGGTGTAAAATGAACAAACAAAAGGTTTGAATTTACAGAAGGTGAGAAGGTTAGAAAGAAGTCAAGGAGATTGTTTATGCAGCACATATTGCAAAGGTTAATCAGGGCATGGGGCAAAAACAAGAGGGGGAGAGAACACTTCTTGGTATGAAAACAACCTTGATATTAAACCGGATTTAACCCCGAAGTGGCAGGAAACATAACACGGCCTTCATATATGTAGCCTTCAAAGCGCTCACAAGAGCATGTTCCTTGTCAGCTCAAGCAAAGGGCAATTCTGTTCTGAGCCAAAAGGAGCAGATGGTCAAAGTGTGCCCACAAGAGATGAGGGGGTCTGGGACTGTAAGAGCTCCAATCATCCACAGCTACACACAGAGGTTAAGAGGGGTTAAAATTAATCCACTCCTGCTGTGTTTGTGTGTGTGTTTGTAATGATATGAATCTGGGATCATCCTCTCTCCATCTCCACAGTTAGTCTAGACAGCTTCCCAGTCACTGGTGAGCTGGATTGGCTTCCTCAGATGGAGGCTGATTATCTGTAGGATAGATTATTAGCCCATCCAGGAGAGTTGGACAACACTAAAGGTTCATCCTTAACCTCCTTAAAGGTGCGTGAGCAGCAGAAATAACCAGATGCTCCTCATGATTGACTGAAAAGCAAACAAACTAATAACTCACTTGGGGCCTTTTTTAAATCACTTTTTAAATAAAAAATAAGTTATTTACTCGTGTTTAGGTAATGATCCTTTCTTCCACACTAAGGACATCAGGTACATGTCAATATTACTTTTACCCCTGTGCTGAGTGAAGGATTTCAGCTATTCAGCGGATGTGGTCGTGCTAAGTCCTCTTGCAAAGATGCTGTTTACAGAAGATTGAAAATAAAGTGCAAAATATGAAAAAGACACAAGACTGAAAGGCTCTCATGCTTTTGTGGTTTGTAATCTACAGAACTTAGCGATCTCATATTGCTGAATCCTACAACATCACTGTCCATATATTTATATCACAGCATCTCCTCAGATCAAACCTTTTTTTAAGGAATTGCCATTAAAAGACAACCAGCTGAAGATAAAATGCTTGCATCCATTTTGCATGCATTTTCTATTGACGGCTATTTGACGGCTGACTTTAGCTTTAGAGAAAAGGTTACAGGATGTTGTCTCCCTCACTCAGGATGTCTTGAGGCCACTGGCAGAGTTGCTGTGTGATGTCTCTTTCCCCCTTAGGCTCGGTCTCAGCTCTGAGTGGGTTGGTCCTTTAGTTGTTGTTCCCTTGCAGCCTGGAGTACACCCTTGATGGTCTTTAGAGAAGAGGCCATTTGTTGTGTCGCCCTCTGTGTTTCTAGTGTGCCAGAGCTGTGACTCTTCCTCTGGTGCTCTCAAAGGCCCAAGTTATTGATAACTGGTTGTACTTCTTTTTCTTTCGGTTTTTCTAGCGTCTTTCTTCACCTGTGTTAATCGACTAGTCCCCCCAGGCTCCCTTGATCCTTGCTTCCTCTCTTCTGCTCTCATATCCACATCACAGCAACGATGGGCTTTGCCTGGCTACCTTTAAGTATCTCTCAATTAGTCTCTTAAAAAATGGTTTGTTCTGGTCACAAATATTAATTGTGAACATTCAAATGTTCTGAGCCAAAATCTGAAATAAATATATGCTCAACATAAATTGTGCCGAGGGTGGACTTTTTTTCCTTTCTCCAATTTAAGCATTCAGTTTTATTCAGTCTAATGCTCTCAAACGAGTCAGTTTTACAGGAATGAAATGTACGAATGTCTCACAGCTATCTTTAGCTGTCTTTAGTCATCAATCATCCTGTTACTCAGAAAAAGAACATAAGAGCTCCATCTGGCTGCTGTCAAATCCTATAACTCTCAGTTTTGCTGCTAGCTTTTTTTTCTTCCTTTTTCATGATTCTTCTCATGTTGACCTACAAACTTTCAGGTTTTAGTGTTTGAATGCGAGGGCCGGCAGTTGGCACTGTTATTGAAACAAACAGGTCTGATGAAGTTTGACAGATGTTTGGACGGAGATGCAGCACAGCACCCTGAAGGAAGGTGTGTGTTTGTGTATGGATGCTGGCTCCTCTCTGTGTGGGTGTATACAAGTGTGTTGGAGGAGTAAAAGTCTGTCTTTCCCCCATTACCCCAGAGAGAAGAAATAGAGTGAACAATATGTGTCCTCACGCTACTGCTTTACCATATGATTCTCCTCCTAAGCTTCTTTTAACATTGGATATTGTTATGTCCATCTGTAAGAGTTTCTCCTTTTTTCTTTCTCCTGTCCCATCATGCAGATGCCCCCGTGGCAGAGTTACACGACCTGTTCTGTAAGAAGCTGCAGCAGTGCTGTGTGCTCTTTGATTTCCTGGACTGCGTGGCTGACCTGAAGGGGAAGGAGATAAAACGTGCCGCCCTCAATGAGCTGGTGGAGAGCGTGGCCACTAGCAGAGGAGTCCTCATAGAGCCCCTCTACCCAGAGGCTATAAAGATGGTAAGAGGGGAGGAGGAGCAGGGGATCAGGGGTTAAGGATTACAGAGTGATGGAATGGACTCCAGCCCTAAAGACAATTTCCAAAATAGCATCCAGTGGCTCTGATTTTAGCTTGTTTCTCAATCCAATGTACTTTAACCCCGTTTGCAATGATTAAAATCACAAAATATGGGAAGGACTTAAAAACAGAGTTACGATCATAAGTCTTTCTTATTTTTTAAGGAGATATAAGCTAAATATTTTGATGAAAGGACTGGAAAAGAGAAATAAAATCATGTTATTCAGAAGTCAGAGGGGTATCATGTAAGTGTGGCTATAGACAAATAATGGCCACAATTTATGAACAATGGGGTCATTAGCTGGATTGTGAACAAATAGAGGAAGCCTGACACACATTCCACACAGTACTTAAATGAAATACAACATTCCAAACCAGAAAGCCCAAAAAACAGATGAGGGAGGCAGAATTGCTGAATACCCAGCAGATGAGATGAGGTGAACTCAGCTGAAGATATGGATGTACTGGTGGGAAGAGGAAGGTATAGAAAATAGAAGGTAAAGGGCGTAAAAAAGCAGTAGACTGCATGCATAGTGATAAGGAGGGGGACAAAAAGGAGAGATAAAGTGGAAGTAGAGCAGAGTGTGGACAGCAGAGATCCCAAAGGACAGAGAGAAGCAGGGGGGATAATAAGAGATGGAACGGCAAGCCTGCAGTGGATATAGCTTAGGTTTTACAGTTACCTTATAAAGAGGTGTGAAAATGCTGATAGGACAGAAGATGGGATAGAAAGAAAGTGGAGCAATAGTTTAATATGTGGCAACAAGATTATAAAGGCTCAGATTTAATTATAGAAAAAGTTACCATGTGCAAAAGTTACGGCTTTGAGTAGCTCCTCAGAATTTGACCAGGTACACAAATGACTATAAATAATCAAACGCAAAGAATCTGTTCCCAAATTATGTTTTACAACCACTGATGTGTAAAGGAGGAATGATATCAGTTTGAGATATACAGAATTTTACATATAGCAATACGAGCTAACGGGTTACAGAGTGGACGATGGGAGCCTCGGAAAGAGTGAAAATAGAAAGAAGATTTGTCAACTAAGGCTCAGAGTTTAGAAGAGAAAAGGGATGATTCATATCAACTGTGCAGTTTTTTGTTATGTGAGGCCATTATTTTAACGTATTGCGGGAAGAAAAAAATCAGTAAACGATATGGATTGCTTTTAAATTCTAGCAGGATTTAAACAGCGTCTAAATATGAGAAATTAAAGTGGCAGTTGGAGATGCATTCGCTGAATAAATTACGACTTAGCAGTAGTTCTTACAACACAGTCTGTGAACGACATCAGATATGGCTTAAGCTGCAGGGAGATGAGAAATAAGAGTGCAACAGCTTTATTTGCTTTTTTTTTAACAGGACATTTGCAATAATGCATACCACCCACCTCACAACAACTGTTTTATCTGACCGAGTGATTCTCAGCCAGTTAGGGACTATTTATGCCTTCAATTAGATACATGATACTGTTTTAGTCATTCAAACTGTGGTGAAAAATATATTCTTAAATGACTGGTTAGATAGATTATAAGCAAAATCATTACATTTTTCACTCATCTCATTGTAATGTTTATTACGGTGTTTTGGTACAATGCTGTGCACCAAACACCAAAGCAAATTCCTTGTATGTGAAAACCTACTTGGCAATAAACCTAATTCTGATTCTGATTCTGATTTTGATTATTCCCCTCCCCTTTTTGTTGTCTTCCAGATCTCTGTAAATATCTTTCGCACGCTTCCTCCCAGTGAGAATCCAGAGTTTGACCCAGAGGAGGATGAGCCAACACTGGAAGCTTCCTGGCCACATCTGCAGGTACAATGTGAAAACAATACAAATTCAGATTTATGCAATGTTGTTTGTGGCATTTTGCTTTAAACCTTAATTATTTGATTTGTTTACAAAACATGAACTCACCCCAAAGGGACTGAGAAGCCTTTACAAGGTTTATTCAGGTCCAATCACATTTGATCTGAATAAAACTTTTAACTATAGCAGTTTGTGAAAAAGTTGATGGTTTTTCATGCACTACTTTATTTGTTCACCTTTGGCATATACCATTAAAACTATGTGAATTTGGGAGCCATAAGTAGCTTTTTTAATTTAGCATTAAGTGCTCACCACATCACGTTGTTGTTTAGTTTATGGCATGATTGTTATGTCATATTATTTGATATATTGGATAACATGCTTCTATACCAAGAACCACAAGAACTATAATCCAAAAGATTAAAGAATCTGGATGTTTTATAAAAACATTTGCAAATGGCAGTTGAAATAACTTTATCAAAAAAGACTGACATTTTTTGTTTAACTTTTGTGTAGATTCTCTCTTTTCTCAGCCTTTTTCTTAGTTTTATTCCTTTTTTGTGCTAGCTTGTGTTTTTATTTGTTGCCTTTGTATTAAACCAAGCTTCTTTTCGTCAAGATTACTGTAATTATTGAATAAATATGAATTATTGATTATTTTCTTTTGTTGTTTGCACCTTTCTCAGCTGGTGTATGAGTTCTTTCTGCGTTTCCTGGAGAGCCCAGACTTCCAGCCATCCATGGCCAAACGCTACATTGACCAAAAGTTTGTCCTGCAGGTATTCCTCCATCATTTCAATGCCTTTCCAATCCAAAGTTGTGAAAATCTTAAGAACTGTGATTCAGAAAAGGCTTCTAAAAAATTATGCCTTTCTCTAAAACGTTACTTTTTCTTTACAATACGTTCTTCAAATATTCAAAATTTCTGCTGCTAACTGCTACTTAAACATCAGTTTTTATTTATGTGGTTCAGATCTTACAAGATGAAGAGAAATTAGACGAAAAATCCCCCAAAATAACTTTTGAAAATACTTCGGATGAGGGTAGAGAGCAGTGCTGATTCATTCAGTGAGGTGGTCAGAGAATAAATGCTGTAGTGCTCACAGGTACACAACTACATATTTGTGTATGTTTGTAGCTCCTGGAGCTGTTTGACAGCGAGGACCCCAGGGAGAGGGAGTACCTGAAGACCATCCTGCACCGTGTCTATGGAAAACTACTGGGCCTCCGAGCCTACATCCGCAAACAGATCAACAACATCTTCCTCAGGTTCGGGCTTCACTAAACCAAACCAATGCACCGGCTTTACACAGACTTTTTAGCATTCAGACATCAATAAATTGAGCATTTTCTAACAAACAAAGGCCATCAGACTACATACTGGGCAGGATGACCATCCTTTATGTATGGGGAGAGACAAGTCATGTATGGAGTGACGAAACTCACAAATATTGGTCTCTCTTTAAGAGCTCTTTCTAATAAAATTCAGTGGTGAATTATACTGTTTTCCTCTCACAAGTGTGACTGAACTGGTTGCTTTTGGCTTTTGTTGTGTTTGCTGTATAACTAGGTAAATTGACAGCAGCAGGGTATTTCAGACACGGTGCACTATGAAATCGATCTGTTCTTTGCGGAATTACGTTTATGCAAGCATGGGCAATTTGACCAGAGATAAAAGAGAGGCAGAGCTGGTTGGACATGAGTCATTTGGCCCCTGTTTAGCTCTTCACAACGCTGTTCACCAAACTGACCAGCCACAATTCAAAAGAAAAAGAAACTCTTTGCAAATTAGCAAAAGACTTGAACAGAGTTGAAGATATAAAACATTTAGTGTTTGATCTTTCTGTCTTTTAGGTTCATTTATGAAACTGAGCACTTTAATGGAGTGGCAGAGCTGCTGGAAATCCTCGGCAGGTTCGTATTCACAGAAGCCATTTTTTGGATCATGCTATGCAACTTTGGTACTGGTTCATTTGAAGCAGTTTGACACGAGCAGTGGGACTAAAGCTCAAAAGCAGGAGTGTGCCTATCACTTCCTAACACTGCTCTTTAGGAGACAGCCAGTAACATCATGATTTTAGCGACTATTGTTGAAAAATGTTTTATATATATTAAATCCTTGGTCTTATCAGGTGAAAACTATTGACACAAGAGACGAGTATCAGGGAGGCAGGGACAAGAGGAAAGAGAAATGAGCCGTAGAAACAAGAGAACAGGTTATTGAAAGAGCAAAATATGAGCCATAAGCCGTTTCTATCATTTCTTGCTTTGTCTCTGAGATAAATTATGAGCAACACCGAGATGGAGCAGAAGCAAAGAGGGAGCTGAAAAACATTTTATCGTGAATCCTCACACCCAAATCGATCGGAGGGAAAGCGGAGAGATGACAGTGATTAAAAGGAGAGGGAAAATGAAGGAGGAATACAAATATGGTGATGTTATCAGATTTGTTTTCCTCGTTTGTGCTGCCTACAAAATGCAAAAGGCATGCTGGAACATTTAGGGGAGCACGCTTGCTGATGGATAAAAAGATCGTTATCAGCTTCATTTCTCCGACCGTAGTGAGGAAAACAAACACCTCTGAAGCTCTGCTGGTGATTTTAATAAATGGAGTTTATAGGCTTCTGGTGTAGCTGTTGGATGTCCAGGCCAAGGCTGCACATGAACACTAATGCATTTTTTTAGATTTGGAAAAAAGCTAAATTGTAGCATGTGAGAGAGGATGTTTTCAGAGGTTAGATTTTGGACAGTACATTCTGGCTCCTCCACTCACAACATGGTTGTGACATGCAAACAGCCCATAATATGCATTTTTAGGGATTAGATTATAATTATTTCTCAGTGTAATGTAACTTTCTAAAACTATAATGAGTGCATTTATTTGTACCTTCTGAATTTGGGAAGAAATGCTTTGAAAAGCCTTTAAACACACACTGTTATTTTTTTTAATCTGCAGAATATACAGTGATACAATATGTGATAATCCAGCCAACATTAGGGTCTGCACACAGAAGTTAGAGATGCATTTCAGTGGACCTAAACAGAGTATTACCTGAGCTGAAGTGAAGTCTCTTCAGTTTTATTCACAGGATTTAATGACAGGGCCCTTTAAAGTTCCACCCCCTTGCAAAACTTCTAGTAATATGTGTGATAGGCAATGGCTGGATATTTTGAAATAAAAACTAGAAAAGGTAACTTTATTAGGCAGTTACAGATGGATACAGCAATAAAAGAAAAGAGTGTTAGCAACATGTGAGTCATTTAGTTTCATCAACTTATCCAATATAGCATCTTTTAAAAGTATGTCATTTTAAAGGTACAGATACGAGGAAAATGAATGAATAGACTTTTTTTTAGTCCACAACAATCATTTCACCCATTCCTGACAAATAAGGGAAAATGGATGATGACTTCTGAGGTTTTAAAAGGTTACTGTGAAGAGGAAGAGGATGGAGAGTCCAAGGTGAGAGGATAAATGGAGAGATATGTGGAGAGGGGGATGAGTGAGTCAGAGGTAGAGGAAGGAGCAGGAGAGGAGAGAGAGGTTTGTATTCATGTTGCTGGTAACAGAGGTATTTATAGCTCCTCCCACACACGGAGGGGGGAGGAATAGGGTAAGAGAGGATGTAGAACAACAGAGAGAAAGATGAGGGAGACAGAGTTTTTCAGAAAAAGGTTGACAAAAACAGATTAGAAGAGCAACAGGGGGAGATTTTTCTGTAGGAAGGATCATTGAAACAGACATTAGAAATGAAGGCAGAAAGAGACAAACTGACAAATGGCTCCAAAGTCAATAAGTAAGTGTCACACCTCCCGAGTTTAGTTTCCACTCTTTTTGGCTGCTCATACCATTAGCTCTCTTGGCTGAGACACTGATGAACTCATCAGCAGGTGTTTTAATGACAAATTCACAGCATTTTGTAAGTGAAAATCCATCCAGACACTCTAATTTGAACATTTACATATAAGTCTTATTTAATCAGGCATGTTCTTCAGATTTACACTGGCAACTTGTATAAGGGCAACTTGGTAAAGGAACATAGAGAGACATCTAACATGCACAGTTGGTGATAACAAACAAGGCAAAACACAAGATTTGTGTGTGACAATCCCACTAATAATATTGATTATTTCAGATCTACTGATAGATGTCTAGTGTTGGTTTTTGTCTGTCTTTGACTGTAGCAGCTTCAAATTATGACCGGTTGAACACAGTATTTTCGGGGGACACTTTCTTTCTTCTAACATATTTTCCTTTGTTTCAGCATCATAAATGGCTTTGCCCTGCCTCTGAAAGCCGAACACAAACAATTCCTGGTTCGGGTTCTCATCCCGCTGCACACGGCAAAGTCCCTATCTATCTTCCATGCACAGGTCAGTGATAGACCTGTGTATACCAATGTTATATGCCAGTGTCCATGTTTGAGTCTGTTGTAAAAAGGACAACACTCCTGCTAGACTTGTTTACGAATAAATTTGGCTTTGAAAACTGGACTGTGTCATGAAACAGTCAAGTGTACCCTGTCTCTCCGACCACGACAACTGGGATTGGCGCCAGCCCCCATTACCCTACTTGGAATAAGTGGGTACAGAAAATGGATGGATGTTGGTAATGACAGTATTTCTGTAATATGCCTGATGTGCCACTAGAAAGCAGAATTGAGTCACAGATCCCACTGCAGAGAAGTTCCACCTCTCCCCAAAGTGTCTTTGGTTCCTTTGGTGTGTGCTTATGTATGAGTGAGTGTGTTTTTTTTCATCATAATATTTGATGACACAGATGACAAGCAGTGTGTTGTGGATGTGTGTGCATTTGACTTGTTCCACACATTTGTTTATGCAGAGGATACAGTTTGTTCTTCACAAGCTGGTAGTATGCTTATGTGTGTGTGTGTATTCTGGGTCTCAGCATGTCTCTGCCCTACATTTCTACCCACATCTCTCCCAATGGTCCACACACATGCATTATTCACTCATTCAAACTCACAATTCAGTTTGTTGGGGTCGCAGGAATGACAGGAACAGGAGTGACCTATTTCTGTATGTAAATATAAAAAATCTCTCTCATCACTGAAATATAAATTGGAATAATTTTTCTTGAAGGCTGTGATTATATGATTTTTAATACATTTTCACAGCAGCTAATTTGATATGTAGCATATTATGACCTAAAATGCATGAAAGTGTTCTTGTTAAATGCATTTAAGAAGTGTTCTTATTACTTTAAAAACAATATTTGAAGCTCTTCTTAGGTGACTCACTATTTTAACAGCACTTTACAGTAAAACATGGATGTCGCTTTTTTTAAACTCTCCATCCAGAAAAAGAGAAAAAGAAATACCTTGTAGTGATTAAAAGATTCAACATAAACTGACCTCCAAATGAAATACACTGAAAATGAGAATTGGCCACAGGTGATTCATCTGATTTTGACTTTTAAGATCATGACCAATATGATGAAATCAGTTTATAACATGAAAAAAACACTCCTGAATTTAATATTTTTCTCTATGACCAACACAGAGACCGATGCACACCTTTTATGATGCATACCTTCTATGGTTGGACTTATTTAAAGATCCATTTATTCAGTGTGTTAACCTTTCACCTTGATAAATATATATGGGTAAATTCCTCACCTTAACTGCTGTAAATTGACTACTGTCCATAATCCTAAGTCAAACCATGCGGTCTTGTGCGCCCACAGATCCCAGCCTGACAACAGAATCCCACATGTTAACTCAGAGCCATTTCTCTAATGCCTCTCTAATGCTTTTAATAGTTTGACCTCTCAATGCCTTTATTTCAGTCTGCCTCTCTTTCCTGCTTTTCTTTATATTCAAGCTTAACGTCTCAGCTTTCAGCTGTAACTTTTTAAGCCTCCACTCCCTCCTTCACCATAATGCTGAGACAATGCTTTGCTGCGGTGACGGGACAGCGAATTTAAGGGTGAAGCAAAAGGAGAACACAAGCAAAAACTGTGCCCCATAAGAATGAAAAGGGGAAGATGAACAGAAAATCTGTTCCATCGATGAAAGTTCGATACGAACACAACTTCTGTCTGAGAGACAGACTGTGGAGCTGAAGGTTAAAAATGAGTCTGCAACGAAATAACAAAGGAAAAAGTGATTGCCGTAAAAAAGAAATGTAATCATTAGAAATGAGTGCACTTAAAACAACAGATAAAACAACTTTTGATGCAACTTAGACATGAGAAAAAAAGACAGAGACAAGAGATCTAAACTCTATCTCACATTGCCCTTAAGGGACTTCGGGTCCGTGACATCACTCCTTCCGAAGTAAACACACGCACACACAGTCTCCGTCGCCACGGTGCCCACTCGCCACAGCAACCAGCCTGAGTGGAGGGAGGAACGACCAAACACACTCATGCAGACACTCATACTCACATACTCAGAATAATAGGAAATGATTGCTTCTAATATGAGAGGAGACAAGAGCTGATGTGACTGCACACACACACACACGCACACATAGACACACACAGACACACACACAGAGTTGGAAAACTAGTCTTTCCGATCTTTAGCACTGTGTAATCCTGAGGGATAAGTGCTAAGATCCCCCTTGTGTCTTTGACAGCTTGAGGGGGTGTATGTGAGTGTTTTTGTGTGTGTGTGTGTGTGTGTGTGTGCGTGTAACCCTTTGTTGTGTGTCATTATAGCTGGCCTACTGTGTGGTGCAGTTTATGGAGAAAGATGCCACAGTGACTGAATACGTAAGACTCCTTTTTCATTACTCACTTTTTCATTAACAAAATTAAAGGATTTTACTATTTTGAAAACGGTTTCCAAAGGTCACTGAATTTCTTCTAATGCTTGACTGACTTGTAGTAAAGAACAAACACAATTCACCCAAATCTGTATCAGCCAAAGCTATAAGGAGCATATAAGCAACTTTCAGAAAAATTGTGTTCATTTATATAATTTATATAATTTCAGGTTAATCTTAAATGTGTTTTTGCAAACACAGTATATAGGCTTGATTTCAGAGGTACTGCATCTTCCTTATTTAATATGTTTTTTTTTTTGCTCTGCAGATCATCAGAGGGCTGCTCAAGTACTGGCCAAAAACGTGCACGCAGAAAGAGGTGAGGTAAAGGGCAGCTGACACTTTTCGGCTGCATTTATGCTAGATGAGTCTCCTTCCTATCGGTTGAATTACAAACTGTTCATGTTGGTATGTGGCTGTGTTAAGGTGATGTTCCTGGGGGAGATTGAGGAAATTCTGGATGTGATAGAACCATCTCAGTTCATCCGGATTCAGGAGCCACTCTTCAAACAGATAGCGGCCTGCATCTCAAGCCCTCACTTCCAGGTGATAAACGAGAACAAAAGTGGAAAAACAAACCCACATGAATATGTCAAATCCAGATTAAAACTGTCTTGAAGAAGACTTTACATGACTAGTCAGTATATTAGTGATTACAACCTTTCTCATGGTGTTCCGCTTTGATAGATTGAAGTCAGCTCTTCTCTGTGTTTTGCATTATTTTAGGTTGCAGAGCGGGCTCTTTACTTCTGGAACAATGAGTACATCCTCAGTCTGATAGAGGAGAACTGTCAGGTCATCCTGCCGCTGGTATTCGCTACCCTCTACAGAGTCTCCAAGGAGCACTGGAACCAGTCAGTAACAAGCAGCAGCTAACTATATTTCCTTTTACTTTAATCTATTATTATGTATGTGAATATATCGAATCAGAAGGTTAAAAAATCAGTCAAGATAAAAATACTCTTACTGGATTATTATTTCTAACCTGGTAGCTGTGACAAAATACACTCAGATGGTAGAAAAGATCTTTAGAGAAGACATAAAGTTTTTCAATACTGTCGTGGAGTTAGGCTTAAAACCCTCCATTTTAACTTGAATCTTCTGAGTGTCCAGAGTCATAGTCCAAATGTGCCCCTCCAGGACCATCGTTTCTCTGATCTACAACGTGCTGAAGACCTTCATGGAAATGAACAGCAAACTTTTTGATGACCTCACTGCCTCCTACAAAGTGGAGAAACAGAAGTGAGTATGACTCACCGTCTTTGTGTGTGTGTGCTTGTGTCACTGGATAAAACAGTGACAACAGGAGGAGGAAATAGAAGTCATCTTAAGTCATGTTTGAGGCTGTATTTATTCCATTACTTATTACTTATTATTTCACATTCTGACTGGGTCATCATGTAGGTCATCTGTTGATCCCATCATACTTCAGGTTATGCCGTTAAAACCAAAGATAGCAGAAACGAGGAGAAATTCAATTTAAAGGAAGAGTCGGATGAGTTTTGGACTGAAAACCCCCTCATATGTCTCACATAAATCCAGCCCCCAACACCTGTTTTTTTGAGGTGGTGCCAATGCTGAAAGTCGGGTAGCATCTAGAATTGTTGGAGGGTGGCGTGTCACGCGCTGCTATTTTGTTGCCAATTTTGAGTTTGTCACTTAGTGCCAGTATTCTGACTTTCAGCATTCTCTCTTTCTTTGTTTGCTTCCCCCTCTATTTCAAGCTTCAGTGTCCATCAGGACCATTAGAACCTTAGCAGGATGCAGGAGTGGAATATAAGAGTGTTCAAGTCCTGAGGTTCATTATAAATCTGCCTCTCATTTCTACCCTTTCCTTTCTGCTGCCATGTAAGGGAGCTGAAGCGAGAAAGGGAGCGTGCGGATCTCTGGCGGGGCCTGGAGGAGCACCAGGAGCGCCGCCTGCAGATGCTGACGGAGGCCGCCAGGAACCAGCGCAACCTTCAGGAGCGAGGCGAAAGAGGGGACCCCCTGAGCCCTTCGTCCCCTCAGATGGCTCACTCCGACCAGCCCGAGCCCAAACCCAGCGGGGCCTCCTCTGGAACCGGGGAGAGCGCCACCTAGGTGCTGTCCCACCCAGAGAGGATAACACAGGGCGGGGGCAGTGGGTGAGAGGGAGCAGGGACTTGAAGTTGATGCCGAAAGTGTTGGGAGACAGAAAAAGGTACAAAACAAGTTCACCGTTCTATTTCATCGTGCATCATGGAGGTGGCAGCTTCTTGGAAAAAAAAAAAGATGCAATCTCTGTGATGCAGGACTGTACCTTCTTTCTGACAGAGTTGTGTGAAACTGGTTCACTTTGTGATGTACAAAAGTCATGTTGCAGAACAGAAGATTAATATCGTCTAAAGGTGCAGACATTTTATTTTAAAGCTGGTTTATTAAACTGCAGGTCAGTGTTTAAAATTGGTAGCTGGCTTGCTTGAAAAACTGATAAACCAAACTCTTCTGGTGCAACAAGTTTAATGTTTGTCGAACTTGTATCAACATTTAAACACTGGAATAGTCTGTACTGTGGCCTCATATCTATCTTTTAATTAGACGCGCTTCTCCACATGTGGAGAGCATAATACATTGATAAACAAAAAGAAGCAATTTCACACAAATGGCCCAAAACTATCGCTGCACAGACCAGTCACACAAACCGCACACACACACACACACACACACACACACACACACACACACACACGCAGACACACACTAATACACATGGGTGCAGGTATTTACTGTAAATATCAGGACTGAATGCAGGTCAGATACTCTCACACAACTGATTGGAACACCTGAACATTTCTAACGAATACACACAGCGACGCATTTGAACAGACACACAGGCAGGTGGTTGTGGCGCGTACTCTTCTCCCAGTCTGGTGGGTTCTACCACAGGACGAGCCTAAAGTCCCGTTAGGTTAAATTACAGCTGATGAAGATGATGACACTGATATAAAGTACAATAATGTTCCTTCTTCTTACTTGTTACTCTACTACTACTACTCTACTCTACTCTAACTACTACTGATGATGATGTTTTTATATATATACATACGTCTCTGGATATTTCTGTAGTGTATTATGGGAGAAACACTAGTGTAGCAGAAACCATGAAGGGGAAGGCCGACCTGAAATCTGAATTCACATCACATGCTTAATGTTCAAGGCCATAAAATGTGAGTGCTGAAATTCAGCAGAATTCCCCTTTAAGAGACCTTACGGAGGGGAGGAATTAACTGGAACGGTGGCAGATGTTTTTCTTTCTTATGATTTTTCTTTTAAAGGATATTTGTGGGGTGACAGGTGTATTTTCAAGGGGTCCTCTGTTAAAATCATCACTTACTCTTCATTTAAACATCAGAAGCCTTTCCTTTAAAGGTGCCCACTAGACTTATCTTGGAAACACAGGTTATGTTCAGAACCACTCATTAAATTCAGTCTATTTGTTCTGGAGACTTGAAAAAGTAACTGTGTTGAATGTTTTGTTCTTGTGCTTTTATAAAGATGATTTTCAGACAAAATTGAAAGTCAGCTTCACAAACATCCACACTTGTTTGCTTCTAGTCTTCTTGCTTTCCCTCTAAGGGAGCCGATCTTTCTATCACCACCAGCTGTTGATCAGTGGAAAGGTGAGAGGCCATGATGCCAATCATGTTGTCAACACAGAACTAGTTTGTGCTCATATAAACTTCCCCATAAGCGAAGTTACCATAAGCACCATGGGGTCCATTATATTGTTGTAGCAAATTATAACTTGAATTGTTTTTCCCTGGTTATATTCATAAAAAGTACAAAACGCCTGACCTCATAAACAAATATGAGGACAAGCAGGCATTTGAACCCCATGCTACACTGATGTTACATCAACACTTAATGAAGCACTCCAGAGTCTTTCAAACCTAAAGAAAAACATCCTAATCCAGTTGGAATTCTTCCCCTGGAGGGTCTGTAGGTTCAGCAGACCATACGCTGCTAGATGGTAACCATGGCGATGATAACTTTTTTCATGTGAACCAACTGCATCTGTTTATTCTTGTCTGATCAATATGAAAGAGTGATGGGATGATGAGAGGGGGGAAAAAACTGAAAAAAAATTATTTTAGCAATATTTTCATTCTGTCAGGATAATCTGTGTTTTTAGGGTGTTAAACAGGAAGTGGGTGTCACACCCCAACGTTTACTGCCCACTCTTGCTTTTACACCTGTTGCGTCCTTGATATTCACATTGTCTTAAAGGTACTTTCTGTGTGAATTTATTTAATGAAAAAAAACTTTTGCTTTGTAATTATGTTGTCTATTTTCTTGTTTTTTTGTATGATCTTGTTCATTTTGTGAAAAACTTTAACTGATGCTATTTATTTTCTATTTGATCAGGAAATGTAACTTTATTTGAAAATGATGGTCAGGTTGTGTATGTGTGCACGTGTGAGTGTTGAAGTGTATTCAGTGAGTGAATCGCTGAGTAGGACGTGTACAGACAGGGCGAGAATGAGAGAAATCGGTTATCTCTTTGCTTCTTTTTCTCTTTCTCTCCTCTCCTTCCTGAAGGACAGGGTTTGAATTCGAATGTATTTTGGAATGGATTTTTTTCCTTTTTTAATTTTTCTATAATAGAGACATAAAGCTACCTGTCGATTTCCACATAACCAAAATATTCAAAACCCCTTAGTTTCACTTGTTTCAGATCATGCCTGAATCAACAATGTGGTGAAATCCATTGATAATATTACAGTTTCCACTTTTTCGGATTGTTATCTCAATCCAAATCATTGATTTTCTACAGATCATCAGCTGAAGTTACACTGCCGGTTTTTACTTGGGTGCTGGAGATGTTTTCTGCTTGCTTTAAAGTTGACCTGATGCAAGATTTATCGAATTGAAGTAGTTACGAATCATGTTTGACTGAGTCAGTAAATAATAAACTCCCATCCCCAGCGGGTGTTACCTCCTCAAGCTTTGTTTCCAGTTTAGACAACTACTTAATCTAATGAAATACCACCACCCTCAACTCAAAGCTTCGCCCCTTGGCAAAGCTGTGCAGTCTAGATTATTAGCTTCAGTCAGTTGAAATGAGTCAGACTTTTATTTAGGTTTTAGGCTATTAAAAAGACCAATTTTAGATTTTTTTTCTTTTGAATTCCAGAATATGGTGTTGTAATCTCCTCTTGCATCATATATTTTGTTTTCTTTCGTTTAAGCTCTTCAACAGTCCCACTTTCAGGTTACAAATTTGGACATGCAGGCAAGTCACACTGGTTTTTGTTAAAGCTAAGAATATCAATTTATAGTCACCATTGGAAATGGTTCCAAGCCACACCAGAGGATAAAGTTTCTCTTTTGCAGATCAGAGACAGATCAGTGCTCCTCATGTGGCTCAAATATGAAGAATCTTCAGAAATAGTGTTTCATAATGGCATCTGAGTCATCATCATATTAGATGATTTCTAGTTCTGACAATCTGGACCTCCAGAAGTACACACACACTGAAAAAGAATGTGTTTTTGAAACATTTGGTTGGATTTCAAACATTGCTAGATTCAGGCAAGTATCACACAGAAACAGAACTGAAAAGAGCTGGAAGAACTTGACATAATCTGTGTTGGCTTGCTCAACTGTCACCCCTCTTCGAGTATTTTTGTCAGACATTCGGCTTGCTTGAGGAAAACAGATCCCCAGCTCTCGCTGTCCTTTAATTCAGGGGCATTTGATAAACACGACATTCATTCTAATGCGACGCAAGAGAGGAAAGTGTTCATGGAGAGCTCAAGTGTCCCTCACAGACAAGCCATCAAATGCTGGTTCTATTGACTTTCATGTTTTCTCTCTTTGGCCAGTTTCATGGGCTGAATTTTGACAAATGCTTTAAAACCAGAGGAGGAGAAAGACAGAGGAAAGAAAAGAGTTTGAGACGAAAGCATGGCAATAAGTCAGAGCAACAGAATGAGAGTATTATGTTACTGGAACCTACAACCGCATTACGTAGCAATTTCACAGAACTTCTAGATTTGCACTGTTTGCCCAATGGTCTGTGTTTGTTGTGTTGAAGAAAAAAACCTTAGAGATGATGATAAAGAAGATGCAGAAGAAAATGTATATTTTGGGGACCAACACATCGGTGGGGGGTTTGAATGTAGAGAGGCTTCCTACTGTACGTAACATTACAGGGAGATGTAGAATGGATAAAAAAAATTATGTGCTAAAAATGAAACTTCACTTTGAGAAAACACTCTGGGTGTCTGTGGTGCTTTTTGTCTCATCCGTGTGGCCTTCGTCATGTGACCTGACGTCAGGTGCCCTGACGAAGGCAAGGCTGGATTAATCATATTTTCAAGAGGAATATCATGCATAATTACAAGCTTGTGCTTTAGAAGAAAAAGAAGAAAAATTTGCAGGATTTTCATTGTCTTTGAAGTTCATACAGCAATACACTGATGAATTTGAAAAGAAAGAACACAAACAATGTTCCCCTATTTGATTTTATAATTCTCCTCAGGCACCTTCACCTACACCAATTTTCAGTCAATTTCTCTGACAAATATAATGTTTTACTGAATGTTTTACAGACAAATAAGGCACTAATAACGTAAAATGTTAAAGAGTTAGTATAGTGCTTTTTTGCCTCATAAAGTTATGTGAAATAAAGTGCAAAACACATAATAATGACAGTGGTTTAAAAGATCCATGTTGCACCATCCTCTGAATGAATATCTGCTGATGAATCCTTCTCACTTTTTGTGGTTTTGCATGAGTTCTCATCGCCTGTCCAGAAAACATGAAAAAGGAAAGAGGCACAGACAAATGCAGCTTCAATGCTTCTACAGACATGAATAAACTCTAGACCCAGTTCAATGATTTCCCACAACGTCCTGTCAGCACATGTGCAGCAGCTATTATTATTTTTTGCAACGATCTGAACACATCAGTATAGTTAACACAAATATTTCTTGCAGTCAAATGTATGGATGAGGCATATTAAGTTGTTCAAAACATGGAGTCCCACTTTTAAGGAAGCAGAAACAGTTATAGCTGGTAAAGAATAGAATTGATTTAGTTAACTCCAAGTAAACATGAATTTATAAAAGGATTTAAGAAATCTATTTCTCTACTTTAAAGTTGTTAAAACTGCCAAACATACAAAGTTCTGGATACAGTCTGTGGTGTTTTTTTTTTTTTTTTTACAGCCACTCCTCATTTCAGAATAGACTAAATAAAATTAAATCAAATTTAGACTGCACACATACACTCATGCAGAGGGAGACACAGGCTGAGGTTGAGAAAACATAGACAGGAATCAGTATTTTCCAGGGACTCTCCATTATTTCTGACTTGGGGTCTCTAATGGTATTTTATTGTAATTGCTATGATGTCAGAGTGTCCGTCCGCCCTAATGGCTTTCTAATAACAACAACAAGGACGGATTAGTTCCATTTACTGGATCGTCTGGACAGAGAGACACCAGAGTTCAGCAGCTCAAATCTCTGCAAGTTATCCAGCTTTTAAAGGTGAGAAATTATTTATTCATTAATTTGTTTCTTGTAATAATAAGATAGTGCAAGTACCATGTTAAGAGTTAAACAGTAGGAGTGGCAAAATGTAAGAGATCACAGAAGTGAAAACTTTCAATTAGATTGGTAAAGATTGTACAGTCTATAACTCAGTGATACTATCCTGTGTTCTCATATTTTTCATTTCAGTGATACTGTATTGGTATTTGTTTTTACTCTAATCTGACTAATTTAACTTTTGTTTTTGTTGAAAAAAAAGTGCATTGATTATACATCTAAAGCAGCTTTAAGTATTTGTCTCTGCAAGACAAGGAGAAAAATGTAAAAAATGTTCTGACCGCTCTCGTTTTTTTTCATTTAAAGATTTTCTTGTCTGTTCAACTTGTGGTTCTTTAACAGACTAAGTATCAAAGCCACAAGTTTGTCTGCTGTAGCAGCCACTTAATACACTAGAGGGAGTTGTTCTTCATGTTGAGCATCACAATGCTTGATCATTTCTTTTTAAACAAAACAAAAACCTGGTGATTCTTCACCTAAGCTTCAACAATTAAAAAGTCAGACTGGAAGTTTTAGTCATATTTTGGGATATAAAACATTCCGAATCTCTTTCCTTACTTGCAGTCATGGCAAATAAAACATGAATTGTGTTCTTCCCAATAGGGTTAGCCAAGTTTAAACCTCTGTCTCTATTTTCATCATACCCAGCATGCTGCCCCATCCTCTCGGTCTTTTTCTGCTGGTTGCCGGGGCAGCGGTGTTGTGTGTCTCTGTGACAACACCGCTCCACAGTTTCAGAGGATGCGCAGTGCGTGAATTCTCCTTTGTGGCCCAAAAGCCCGGCTGCAAGGGGCTCCACATCACCACTGAGGCCTGCTGGGGGCGTTGTCACACCTGGGAGGTAAGGTGCACTCAAATGATGCTGTGGAACACAAATAAATTACCAAAATTAAACCCAAAAAGAGACTGACCAGCTTGTCTTGCATACCACTTCATACAATTTCATTAAACTGTTTGCATAAATTCAGCTTTTTTGGATATATTCACCTTTGATCTCTAAGAGAAAACCAAAGACATAAAAACAAATCCCAGAGGGAAAAACAACTCAAAAAGCGCTTGTTTGTTATAAGTCTACTTATTTAACAAAAATGACCAAATACTTCTTGCTAAATGTCTATGATGCATAATGAATGCATTTAGATGGAATTGTAAAACAAATATGAAGTCAGGAGCAGTATAGTATAGTATTCTATCTTTATACCAAACTAACAGCAGGTGTCTTTCATTGTTCATTTGTTCATTTTAAGCATAAATTCATTAATGTGCCATTAAAATGTATCTTTAATGTATCAGAGCAACTTGAGTTTTGGAAAACGAGCAGCAATCTGCCATTTGGAAGTTTTGTGGTTTGAAGCACCATTGGGAAAGGCTGCATCCATCTGTGCAAAAAGTCAGTATGATAGGAAAAAAAGCAATCTGTAACCTGTAAAATTGCTTAAACTAAGGTGTGCTACGATAACATGGGTTTCTCTATATTCTTTGATATTTTTTGTGACTTTATGTGCAATTACTTTCTCATACATGTGTTTAAGCATGTTGAGAGCTGACTAAACACATGTTCACATTCTCTCCATGTCCGTGTGTTCCCTGCAGAGGCCGATACCAGAACCTCCCTACATCCACAGACACCACCGCGTGTGCACGTACAGTCGGATTCGTCACATGACTGCCCGGCTCCCGGGCTGCCAGCCCAACGTGTCTGCTCTCTACCACTATCCCATGGCCCTGCACTGCCACTGTGCTGCCTGCTCCACCCAGGACACTGAGTGCGAAACCTTCTGACGGAGGAAAGCCTGCTTAAAGCGAAGAACACTTTAACCCCAATTAGTTACACTACACATGTTTCACGTTGTTATTAAACAGTGTCTATTATATCTATGTTATGTGTAAATGAAAGACTACATGCATGAACCGGTGCTTTGGTAAGAACCTTAAACCTGAGACATAAGCATTGCATGGAATCAGTATTTCTCCCGCCATCATGAATTTTAATGCGCATGAAAATATTCTACAATGAAGTAAAAATGGAACTAAAACTGGATCCGTCATCTAGTTTCTGTATAAAGTCCAGTTTTCATCTGCTCTAGCATCAACAAATAAAGAAAAAGAAGGTCAAATGCTGCCACATATTCGCCACTGATCCCCCAAAACCAGCTAAATGTGCTCTTTGCAAATGTGTATGTCCAACTTAATTATTCAATAAATGCAACAATATATTTATCTGAAAAACATGTTTTCCAATCAAAGCCAATCATTCAGTTTAATCCATTACAAGTTCTGAAAATTAGACGAAATCAAGCATGCAGAAAACTGAGGGGGGCAAACTATACACACACCTTTGCACTCTAATGAGTTTATTCTTATATTTTGCAGCAAATATGAAATAGAGAAAAACATGTATGTGGATGTAGATTATGTCCCATGATAGGAATGGTTTGAATTAAAATTTTGTTGACTATTTCCTGATATTGTCAAAGTGTTTAAATGGAAACATTCACATAACATCATGGCACACAAAATGGTGCGCACACAAATTGAATGCAAAACACAGCGTATACAATATAATAAGAAGAGACACATGTGACGTGACACACACGCATACGCAGATTAAGATAACAGCACAGAAGTGGATGCATTAACCGTACTTCTCAAGATGCCACGGTTTCCATGGCAACCTTAGGTGACAATGCCACCAAGTGATACAAACATCATTCAGCTCGCTGAGTCACCGTGGAGTAGTATGTGTGCGTGAGAGAAAACACGCTGCATCCGCATGCAATTTGGTGTCAGCTCACTAATGGTTTTGTGTGTTATTGTGTGTCGGTGCAGGAGGCATTAGGTGATGATGTCACACAGCTTTTCCACTGACATAAGTGGAGTGGGAATGTTTTGTGTGAGGGGGCCATGAGAAGATGTTTGAGTGCGGGGTGAGGAGAACTTAGAGCACACTACTTCAAGGAAAGAAACATTAAAGAAAAAGTTTTTGGAAGCTGAAAGCAGCTCAATGGGGAAACAGTGCAGGAACTGTCAAAAATGTGGTCAAAAAAGTGAAAAGAGTTCCACCACTCATTGAATGAAATACGGCAACTATCTAAAATCCTGCAAATATGATCTGTTTCCAGCCAATCTATGTCTCCGTATTGTCATTTTGTCTTGTCTTTGTGATTCTTGATTAATTTTTTTCTTCATCTGTTTGTGTTTGATATCAGATTTAAATCACGTTGTCCGTCTGTTACCTTTCATTCAGTTTGTATCACTTCACAAAAGGTATGCTTAATCCAAAATTTGACTCATAAGTCACAAAAATGATGTTGATTTTTCTATGACACAAATCAACCATGAAAGGCTGCAAAATGGTCTATGAAAAATAAAAGCAAATCAGCAAAAGTGAGCTGCTTTGCATGATCATGATGAATGGCCCATTGTTTGCAAGTTGCTTCTTTGCCTTCTTTGCAGCTTGCGTCAGCCCTCTAAACTCATTTAACTTTCTCTTTACTCGCTCCATGCTAAAATGACCGGCTCCTAACCCACAGTCTAAACCCACCTAGCCCTACCTGGCAGCGTCAGTGGGTTAAGTAGCCCCTCTGTGGGATTAACAAGAGCGACACATATTATTCCTCACCAACTAGACTCTGTCAGAGGCTAATCTATTTATTTGATCTGATTGATAAACTCAAAGTGGATTCAAATATATATATAGCTTTTCCTGGTCACCCTTTGCAGACCAAGGCAGCTCTTTCTGCAAAAAAAGGCATTTGTTCTTTCACACTGACATTTCATCTCTAATGGAGACATACCAAAACAGAATAAAGAACACTCATATTTGTGGTTTCTGGTTTCCCTTTATGGCCATTGCAGCATCCAGATTCTGCTACTTAAAATCTATCTAATAATCTCAGAGTCTATTATAAGGCTGGAGTTTGGTGAAGGCGGTTGCTAAGATGACTTTTTTTTTCTAGCTGGGGGACAGGAGGAGCGGAGCCAGAGTTTCTCGCATCATACCTACCACGCTCCGCACACTCACAGCCCCAACTCACCCAAACCCACAATATCTGCTGACCTGACCCTGTCCTTCCTGCAGCCGCTGCAGATGGAAAACCCAGTGTTGCTTTGTGTGCGTGTGTGTGTGTGTGTGTGTGTGTGTGTGATACCCCCTTTTCTGTCCACTTTAGGAAATAAAAGGTGGTATGTGCCAACTGGCAATTGAGGCTCAGAGCATTATTGTCATTTTCTTTATGGATACAATATTGCTTTTGTGTTAATGTACGTACAAGTCCATGTATGTTGTGAGGTAAAGTTGAGCGTGTGTGTTTTTTTAACATTGTAGTGGTGCATTTATGGAAAACCTATCTAGTTTTCCTCTGTGTCACAGCTACAAGTGGCCCCGTGAAGGTTTAAAACTGGGGTAGGAGGGACAGACCTAGGCTGGTAGCCCACTTCTACACAGAAACGGATAAGAAAGAAGAGTACAGGGATCTGACAACTTTTGAAGGATTTCATGTGTTTTGTGGTAGGAAAAGTTGCTGCAGAGAAAAAATAGAAGGTGGAACTGGCAGAGAAGAAAAAAACAGATCCACACACACTCATCTCTAATTGTGGGTGTGTCAAGAGCTATAAGTGCCTTTGCTCTTACCTGTGTTACTTATATCCCTGCGTGAGGCTCACAGCAGACGCTTTCATACACACACACACGCACACACACCTGTCAAACGACCCACCTGCACCAGAGAACTCTCAGCTGTCCAGGTAAGAGCTTATTTTTACACCTGGGAAAACTTAAGTGCATCATGTCTTTTAATGGTAAAATAGACCTTTAATAATGTTGTTTTTGGATTGTTTGCTCCTCTGATGATTTTTTAAATTTACTGTAGTGATTGGTTTTCTAAAAGTAGAATATACTAAAAATAATTAATTCCTTGATCTCTGTTTTCTACTTTCAGGAATAAATTTAGATTTTCTGACATAAATGCCAGTATAAATTAACGACTTACATCCAGTGAAACTTGCATGTTCTAAGAAAAGATTTTGCAACATTGGCTGGGTTTTGTTTTAAAACCCATCATAGCATTGCTGTAGAAATACAAAATGAACCATGTCTATCATTTTGTTAGCAAGAAAGGAAAATTCTGCATACTAGAACTGCACCTGTTCAAAGCGCACCAACACTAAGCTGATTTTTTTTAATACTTGATTGTATGCAATAGGTGATAATTCTATTTGAAAAATGAAAACTGAGAATAAATGAATGAAAACGAATATTTTAGTGCAATTACTAAAGAAACCAGATATTTGTCATTGAAACGATGGAAGTAGTAGGTTAGTATAATTGGAGCTTCTCTCTGTTGAGTGTGAACTGATTATCATAACCGATTTGAATAATTCTTTTTGTTAGTTAGAGATTCTCAGTGGGTTATACAGTATGAAAAGTATATTTTTGTTGATGAGCACTGTATTTTCAGATTAGAAAAAATACAGACAGCCATTTTAACATTTTTGGTAACTTCTTACTAAAGTATCATCATTTTCGGTGATACATTTTTACTCAGGCCCGAGTTGATATGCATTAACTATTTGTCAAAAATGACTGAAACGTAAAAGATTCAGCATTCTCACATTACAAACAGCGCAGCCTGACTTTTCTTTACCTCCCAAAAATGGGAAATAACGGATCACAACCTCTTTCCCTTTAAGACAAACCAAACATTCAGACATGGAAACCCCACATAAGAGGAAAAAGCCTAGCATTTCCTCTTCACCGCCAGTTGACATGGGGTTAATAGTCTCAGTCACACAATTATAGCACTGACCTGTTCATTTGGTCATACCGGCAGTGTTGATAATGCCTCCAGGGCCTTTCTGCTGTCACCACAGTCAGTGCTGGTTCCCAATGCTTAGGAAGCAGAGCTGGAAAAAGCAGCCAATTTGGAGGGCAGAGGTCAGGATATCCAAATCTCTAGGAAAGGATGACTGGTGTTGACACACGTGTGTGTGAAAAGTGAGGGTGGGGCGGTGGGCATGTGCATCATCGCAATATTGCAAGTACGTGGTGATGTGGAGGACCTCTTTAATTCAGCGGCGGTGAGGCTCCCAGCAGGTGAGCGGGGCCCGGCATGTGTCAGCAGGCAGCTGTTAAATGAAGCAGCTCCAAAAGACACAGGCAGGACTGTTTTCATTCACAGAGGCTGGGAGCCGAACGCAGGTAGTCCTGCGAGAGGGGAAATCACCCGAGCCCCTTAAATAAAAGGAAGGGGGGGGGGGGGGGGGGGGGGAGGGGCAGCAGAGCCGGGATTTTAGGGGAAAGTTCAGCACAAGAGGGTTAAAAAAAAAATGAGAAAACTGACTGGAGATGCATTCAAATTTTTTTTTTTTTCAAAATGTTTATGTGCAGAATTTAAGCTGTTTAAGATTTATTTTCTGTGCTTGTCCAACCATAGATTCCTTTACTTTCCTCCGTCCAGATGTCGCAGTGCATGGCCTCCCACCTCTGCCTGCAGGCCCTACCGCTCATCTCACTGCTGCTCTTCCTGTCCTCTACTGGCGGGAGCTTTGAGGCTCTCACCCCAGGATGTCACCTACATCGTACGTCTCATGCATAAATGGAGTTTTAGGCACATTACATAGAAATGTCCATGTCCGTAGGATCTGGAAAAAAAAAGGCTAGTTGATTTGTTTTTGTATCAGAGTTCAATGTGTTGCAAACTCATTTCTCCTCCAGCCTTTAATGTGACCATACGCAGTGATCGCCGGGGGACATGTAAGGGCACCCATCTTGTCTACGCCTGTGTGGGTTACTGTGAGTCTAGCGCCTTCCCCTCTAGATACTCCGTACTGGTGGCCTCCAACTTCACCCACAACATCACCTCTGCTTCCCGATGCTGCACCATCAGCAAAGACGCCAAGGTGAGGGCTGGGAGGGATAAAGTTTAAGGAAAGTGTGTCTTGGAGTTTGAACTGAGGAGCTTGTATTGATCATTTATAACTGTGTTGTTCATGTGCGGCGGCTTCTCTTCTCCCCTTAGATCAAAGTTCGCCTGGACTGCCCCCGGGGGCGCCACCACGATGAAATAGAGATCCTGACAGCGAAGGCTTGTCGCTGTGACATGTGCCGCAAGTCTCGCTACTGACACCTGACATCCTGTCAGCATGCTGCACCTGAAGTGCCCACAGGATGAAAAGCACGTTTCTCTTCATTTCACATTTGTATTATCAGCACCTTTTAGTTTTGTAATAGCTGTTTAAGAAAATCCACTTTGAACGAGCAAACTGAAAGCTCACCTATCAACGTCAGGGTTTGTGTATTTCTGAAGAATCAAAACAAAGTTTCACTAAAAAAGATCACAAACTGAAAAACTACCTTCAAATCTGACTAAAAGATCCATCATCAGTACCTTAATAATGAGAGGGACATGGTTCCTTTTCCACACGTTTGTTTCTTTGTTTGTCTATGTGGTACATATGAACCGGGGGAGGGTCTTATAGAGATGCTGTAGATTTCATTCTGTTCAACACAAATACATATTTGCACAGTTTTGCTTTGTTAAAACACTTTAGAAGCAGCTACGCATGAATAATCTCAACTGAGATGTTTAAATGCACAACAAAAGCAAATTTAATTTCACTTTGATATGCTGAGGACAAAATATTACAACAAAAGCTAAAATACTAATATACTCGGTTAACTTCTTTACTGACAAGTTGACATTTTTTTAATGAACACAATGGTCAAATATTCAAGACACTCCATTTATTGCAATAACAACTGATCAAGGACAGGAGACCAACGAATGTACAAAATTTATTTATATTTATAAATCTGAACTTAAAGACATTTTGTAAATAATATCTGCTGATGAAACCAAAGAATGCTGCAAATGTCAGTTAGATGAAACGTTATGCACTGTGATGAAACTTTGTGTCAATAAATGTTTGTTCTGCAATTTTAAACTAATTTCTGTGGATTATTTTATCATTTCAAACACAAAAACACTCCTAAATACACCACACCATAGCAACATCCTGACCCAAATTCGAACAAAATCTATTCAAGTCTTACTTAAACACTGTTGGCCTCCTTGGATCATAGTGTTTCTGTAAATTGTACATACACTGGGTAAAGTATACATATGAAAACACATTTTACAGACTCATGCCCCTGTCGGCAGCTTTTCTTCCACATTCATTTTCAGGGCTTTTGAATAAAAATGGAAGGATGCTGCAAAGAAAAAAAGAGGGGGTTTTACAGTCTGTTGAAATGAACAAGTCATACACATGATTTCTGCCACGGTGGGCTCATCCAACATGTCTGCTACTGTATATCATCATTTTCAAGAACTGCATGCTCATGCTGAACATGGTGCTGCCAATCTCTCTCCGCCTCAGGTCGCCCGGCGCCTGTCTCAACAGGCATGTCATACTGAAATGTCTGTGCATACAATAGGTGGATTTCCCCAACATGCTGTAATCTCTGACAACTTATTTCATGCACATCTAAAGTATAAATCCAATCTCATCCCTCCTGTGGGCATAAAGGTTGATCATACGTACAAATTGGACATCAACATCATCCCCACAGGTCTATGTGCAAAGTACTGTTTGGTGAGGGTGAGACTTCTGGCCGAGCTGTCACACCTACCTGGCCAGTCTCCGGAAGATTCCCGGCCACACAGTCGCCCCCTCCTGCTCCTCTGGGTCCTGTGCTGTCTCAGGCTGCAGAACAAATCCAAATTATGATTAAACCACAGGAGCATCGCAACATGTTTCTATGGAAGGCAGCAACCTCGCCTCCGGCTGCATTGTGTGGTTGGTTGGCAACGTTACATTGGATGCTGTTCTGCATGTTCCCAACTCATATCCTGTGTTTATATGAATAAAAATCAAACAATTCTTTGGTAAATGTCATTTTCGGTTTCCATCAATGGAAGCCTTGCTTGAAGAGTGTTACTTGTATATGCTGTGTGCATTTTTAGCTCTTAATTCGTTTTTCTTGGCATCCAGTCGAATTGTTCATTGCATCATTAACAGCTCAAACAAAGTTTTGTTCATCTTGATTCTGGAAGCAAGTCAGGGATTAATCTTCCCTCTGAAGGACAGATACGGTCTGAGGTTCGTCGAGCTCACAGACCTCTCTCCTGTGGTTTGATCTCTGCATGTAAATGGAACATGGCCTGGTATTCCCTTTGCAGGGGCACCATCACCCAAATCCATCAGTCTGGAGACATGGTCTCCGTCCCTAAAACAATGCTGCACAGACGTGTCCACTGGCACAGCCTATGTCCACTTTACTGATAAGCAGAAAGCAGTCAAATGAAAGTCTTTGTCCTCACCATTTCCCAATCCACAGCCGGTCGCTCCTTGGGTCCTGCCATCCCAGCAGATGGTTCCCATGTTGCTCGTTCAGGCTGTACAGACACATAAGGTTCAGGTCTGAACAAGGTGTTTGTTGATCAGTCGCTCAACACCAGTGGGTTCTGGGAGACACAGCCAGGGAAAGCTGCCCCTGACTCCACACAGAAAGGTCCTGGTTCCCCCAGGGACTCGAACCCAGAAGCCTCTAGCCGTGACCACACCACCGTGCCGCCCAGCAGCTAATCCATTATGATTAAAAAATTCTAATAGTTAGTTTTCTAAACCTGTTTGTGCAAGAATGGAATTGTCCCTATAAGCCTCCACGTTCCAATTTAATCCTTTTCAAAGCTCGTAGGTTTGTACTGGCACTTTCTTTATAGTGCTCAAAAATAAGTTTCAATTATTTTTTCCACTAGCCGCAATTGCTTAGGAAAAATGTATCAAGGCTATAGGTGTAAAAAAGAAAGAAAGAGTGGACAAGAGCAAGAACACTGGATGGGATGAGATTAAAGGCCTTTGATGGGACAGGAGAAGAGGAGGGTAATTTGGTCGACTTTGTTGCTAATCAAACTGAAGCACATCACCAGAAACACACACATTCTCTCACGTATACACAATTAGACATGTACTCATACAGTCTTTCTGATGTAATACTATTATTAACCTTAATCGCCCTTGTTATCCTACCTGCCTGCACTAATGTTAGCCTAGGGCTGCAATAAAGACGGAGATGCTGCAAGTGTGCATTTGTGGATGTGTTAGAAAGGAAATGAAAATGTTTTGTGAGATTAAAATAGGAGGACCAAATGTTGAAATCAGTTCATTCTAAATAACTGTGTGCTGAACTGACTGACTCTATTTGTCTCAGTGAGTGACAAGTCAGTTAAAAGCCTCACCGTGTCAGCAGGATCACCGTCCACCTCTCTGTCTGCATGCAGCTTATCCGAGTCCACCTTACTGTAAATAGGACATATTTACTATAGTTAGATACCTAAAAAAATATTCAAATTACCATATAGTGTACAGTACAGGCAAGACTCTTAAACTAATAAATAAAAAGCTTAGGAAGTCAACCTCATGATTATTCTCAAAGTTCAGTTAGATGGCTTTTCATATCCTAAAATACCTCAGTGAATAATCAATGCCATAAAGACTTTACCAGAGGTCTTAAACAGTTTAGCTGTTTTTGGTTGTTTCAATATATTTCAGAGGTCACAAGCAATAGTTCTCCAGTTCTCCAGACATTTTTGTTTGATATTTCCTCCTTTTTCTTGAATTTTCAACCACTGTATCTGACCTTTCTTGAGGAAGCTTCTTCACTTAATGTGAACTCGTAAGGACAGAGAAGGCCGTGTCTAGAAAGTGCTCAAACAACAGAACACATCAGATTTATTTCTCATAGCGGTTACAGCTGGTCATTTTGTAGGTAACCGACTATAAACTGCACCACTGTGAAAAACCCCATTGCAGCAATGTCAAAACCGTCATCTGTTTGTCTATCGTTTGTCCTCACTTGTTCTCTGAAACTCACACTTTTCAGTTCCCATCTTTCCAGCAGGTTTAACATGAAAACAAACTGTCGCTCCTGGGCATCGCGTAGAGTTTCACCCAAACACACAGAAATACCATCAGTGATGAAGCAGTCTGTCGGAAGCCTCAGAACGTGGAACGGTGCCTTAAACTATGTGTAATGCTTCGCGTTCACAGTCTACTCGGCTTTGGAGTCTACATGCTGGAACTCAAACCTCTTTCAATGTCTTCCATCTTTGTAGGAAATGTCCAGACTCAGTGGTTTCCTGTGAAGCAGTACTGATGCTCCAGGCTCTGCTGCTTGCAAGATGTTTACACAGTTTGTGCATCTGAGTGTGTTCGAGTTTATAAAAAAAGGACACAATTCTGTTTACATAAGTTCAGCACAAACCAGACGCAGGACAAGACCTTGTCGGAATGATCCTTTTCGCCCCACTGGTCTGGCTGTCAGTGTGATTGAGGTGGCGCCGTTCGCCCCTTCATCATCTGTTTCATAACTGCAAGACCCGCTGGAGCGTGTGTTTGTGTGATCATCACAATGAATGTCAGGTACTGTGTATACAGGTGCCTTTGTGAGACTGCTTAGTGTGAACAAGCATCCTCTTGTTGCAGAAATACATCCTGTTCACACTGAATTCAAACAAAGAAATAATATATTGACAGTTTTGCTAATTCATTTATAGATGCCTGTTCTTTGTCAGACTACTACAGTGCACTGCAGTCCATGATGAGGCTAGCTGCACACTACACACTGGACTAAAGCCTTGGACTAAACGTACTGACCGCTAACGTAGGAATAGAATTAAATATCCCTTTGTTTTGGTTAATAAATTAAAATAAACCTACTGGTAAACTTTGCTTTTAATAACACACCGCTTTTGAAACTGCGTCATAAGATAACATCATGGTTTGAAATGATTACTGTTTGAAAGTCAATTTTTTTGTGGAGAAAATAAACCAACAAAGCTTTACATTAGGTTATGGTTTTACATGGAAAATCTGAAAAGATGAATTTCTGTTGCTCAGGTGCCCCCGGCCCATAGCTACCCATGCTTAACAGAAGTGAGACACTCACCTAGCGGCTGACACATTGTGCTGTACCTCCATGTCGTTAATTAAGTCCTGTAGGATGGCCTCCTCTAGTGGTGAGTCTCTCCGACAGCATTTTCTCTGAGGCTCACAAGAAACAGAGCACATGTTCTGTGTGGACAAAGGATCAAAGCTTTACTTAAGACTTACTTACTTTCTTAATACAGTGCAATCATTACATTTCATACATGCAGGGGGATAATCTCCAAAACATCAGACTGAAGTTCATAACATCCAACCTCAAAATTGTGTTTGTGTTACAGTGTTTGTGTTGTCCAACGCCAGGTAGTGTGATAGTTTGATAAGAACACTCCAGATAGTGATCTTGGTACTGTTCTAATGTAACACAAAACAACTCACCTCCTGTGTTTGCTTTCCTGAAACGAGATAAAGGAGAGTGTGAGAGGTCATCATCCTGCTGAAACATTCTTTACTGTCAATAGCATCTGTTCCCTATCACAGCCACCTAGCCGGACTAGTTATGCTTGAAACGCAATGGAAACCGAGATCAACAGAGCCAGCACCCAGCGCCCAAGCATCTGGTCATACTGTGCAGATGGAAATGGGTCAAGGTGAAACATCCTCTTCTCGCTATCTGCACTTGTTAAAATGAAATTAACTGCGGTATCCAGTTCACAGTCAGTCACAACCTACCCAAAAATAACTCTATTAAGGCAGACCACATGCAAACACATCATTTCAGAAATTAAGACTTCAGCTCAGCTTATCAAACAGATAACGTGTCTCTTCACACCTCTGTGCATGTTTTTCTCCACGTAGACGATGATAGTAAAGGGGTACAGATTCAGATTATTTGTGCTGTGTCCACACACTCCCCAGCGTTTCTTATCTGGTAATCAAAGTTAATGAAAAGCATCGACACTCACATAAAACCAAAATCTCATCTTTATCGTGAGGAAAAACACATATATACTTATATGCTCTCAGGTTCACAGAAAAGGTGGGAATACATTGGCTGGAAGGGTGACAGACATATATTTACAACGATGGAGGAACAGACCGATGTGGAGGATACAAGGAAAGACTGTGTAGTGACTGGTGGAAAAGGGCTGGAGGTTGCTCAAGTTGCCAAGAACTGTTCTGACAATGTCCTGAAATCAGAAAGGAAGAGAAAGAAAGAAACATCCACTGCCAACAAGTATAAACTAAAATAGCATGCCTTAAACACAGCATCAGTAGCTACCTCCATTTCTTGATTGAGGCCATCAACTTCAAGGACCTCCTTTCTGCTGATTAAATATACCACACGCTTTTTTTTTTACAGTACATCATATCTTATCATCTCATAGAATCAGCCGTTCCAGTTTTGGACACAGACATAGCTGCCTTTTCTCATGCAAAGCATGAAAGGAAAACGTGTCTGCTAAATATCTAATGCCACTGGTGCTGAAGGATTCTTCAAAGATCAATTTCAGCCTTGTCTGTAATCCCTGACTACATGGAGATAGATCCCTGTCTGTCTTGGATCCTCGGCTTTAAAGATGAAAATTCTGATCTTCAAACTTGGAAAACATGTATCAGGATATGTAAAAGCAGTTCAGTTTGTGGCTTTAAAAGAACGAGGTTTAAATCTGTGTTCCCTCTTTGAGCTCTGCTGTCTCTTCAGCTTTATTTTTTGTGTGTGAAGTGAAGGAAGATTTTACAGTTCTTTGGAGAATCAGATCCATGTAGGAAGGAGGGTGACTCACAGGGAGTTGATGCAATAAGTAAAAGAAGTGCTCCTCTGACTGTTTTATGCCTTTTGTATTAAAAAAAAAAACTCTGCTTAAAAAAAAGGCTTTCTGAAAAGAGGAGAAAATAATTTGTGATAAGGGGACATTTGAATTTTTCCCCACTGGAACAAAAGCAGGTTCCCACACACGACATTATTCTTGTTTAAGGATAATCATTTTCATCTGTATTTTTATTCAGAATATTGAGAGGACATGAGAATGTCTAGCTATGTCTTGCCTGTAGCTGGTGCCTCCTCTGATTTTGAACCTGAAGATGAAATTCTCAGCTTTAAAAAAACGCGTTTCTGGGATGGGGAATGAGAAGGCCTGCAGCGGCATGGCTGAACTGGACCAAAATGAGATGAATTCATGAGAAAATCAATTCGTTAACTGTTAAACACTTGAATAATATGACAATAATGTAACCTGCTGCCCGGGGCAAATTTATAATACAAGAAACAGCAATAATTACTCATTTAAAACTTTTATTTTGGTTCTTAACATTACCGTAATGTGAGTAGAAGTTTGGCCACCACAAAATTCCCTCTTTCGTAAACGGTCCCTGCGTTTATCTAACGTCTAGCAGAAATGCAACGGTTAATATTTTGTCCGTCAATCCGAGGTTTGGCTTTTCCATTGATTGGCTGGATGTTATTATTTCCCGCCTTTCGCTCACTTGGGCCGCTTCGATTAGCTGGATCTTTCTCCAATCAGCGGTGTCAGGGCAGATGTCACTATGGTGACGGCAAAACCGCCAGAACTTCTTGTCACATGATTGTCAGCTGACCACATGTAGGAAGAGAGCAGCGGATACACATGCTGGTGATGTTTTCTTTTTTTCCATGACACTTATTCCGTATCTTTCTGTGTCTGAGGGTAAACATTGGTGGTCTGCTTATGTATTTACCTCTCTTAACAGACAACTTAAGACACAAAAGGTAAGCTGGTGAATTTGATAGCTTTCTATCGCCAACAGTTTGTAGCATTACAAGGTAAACACTTTTACCACACTAAATTATTTTATTTGCTTTGGAAAACATTTTCATACTTCTCCATTGTTAAGTTCCATTGTAACGTTTAACAATAATGCCCTATGTTTTTCCCGTTTAACAGCTCCTGTTTTAGGGAGCAGCACACACTTCCAACTTCTACCAGGAAGCTAAGTGCTTTGTGGAGTAGATGTCCTCTTCGCCCTCTGTTGTCCTTAATACAGGACTTCACATGCCCCTCCTGGGTTTGGGAACCTACAAGTTGCGTGGCCCTGAAGAAGTGTATGCGGCGGTGGATGCAGCCTTGGCTGCAGGATACCGCGCCTTTGACAGTGCAGCTGTCTACCGGAATGAAGCCAACTTGGGAAAAGCCCTGAGGGACCTACTACCTAAATACAACTTGACTAGAGATGATGTATTCATAACCAGGTGAACCTTTTGAAAATGCAGGGTTTGCTGAAGCCTTTATTCCTTATTGCTCCCATGTGTCATTCATATCACCCAAGTAACTGTCTTTCTAAAAATCCTCACAGTAAACTGGGCCCTAAGGACCAGGGGGAGAGGGCCACTGAAGGGGCCCTCCACAGTCTGTCGCAGCTGGACTTGGGTTACATAGACCTGTACCTGATCCACTGGCCTGGAACTCAAGGACTGCCAGTGGCTGACCAACGCAATCCAGGTATAAGGCAAATAATGTTTTAGAAAGTGTTCACCTTGGAAACTTTAGCTATGATTTATATGAAAACCTCTATATTTTAAATGGAATAGTGTCTGTTTTCTCTGAATAAAGAGGAAGCATTGTGACGATATTACTTCAATTGAGGAATTAATGTTTGATCCCAGGCAACCGAGCACAGAGTTGGGCCGGACTGGAGGAGTTGCATGGGCAGGGAAAGCTGAGGGCCATAGGTGTGTCCAACTACACGCCAGCGCACATGAAAGAACTAATGCAGAGCTGCAGAGTCCCTCCAGCAGTTCTACAGGTATGGAAGAGCGAGAGGACGTCCGACGCGGAAACATCTTTTTATTGAAAAACTTTATATGTGAGCGCTTGTCTTCTTCAGGTGGAGTTTCACCCTCAGCTATGCCAAGCAGAACTGAGAGGTGTTTGTGAGGAGTATGGAGTCTGCTTCCAGGCCTACTCCTCCTTGGGGAAAGGGGAGCTGGTCACTGACCCAGTGGTGGTTGAGGTGGCCGAGAACTGCACGCGCACACCTGCACAGGTAGGTCCTCCTCTGCTTCTCATGTTAAGCACAAATAAATAGGTGGAGCTTTGAGGGACCCTGACCCTTTTTCCCTGACAGGTTCTGTTGCGCTGGGCGGTGCAGCAGGGTGTCCCGGTCCTGCCAAAGTCTTCAAATCCAGAGAGAATCCAGGAGAATGCAAGAGTCTTTGACTTCACATTGAGTGACAAAGACATGCACAGACTTTCAGCTTTGGACTGTGGCAACAAGTACTGCTGGGATCCTTCTGAGGTGGCATGAAACTCAAAAGTTTGGGATACCTTGTCAGACATTTGCCATAATTTTGTATTCTTTATAATGCCTCACAATATTGTTATGCCTTTGGTGCTCTCATCGCTATGTAGTACATCAATAATGCGTAAATAATACATGAACTACCACAAATTTTCAGCGAGCCCCACTGTGCAGCAGAATTTTAAAACAAAAGGAATCTTTTTAAAACCACTCTTAAAATCATTTTATTCAGGACAATGTATGTTAGAGGTTTTACAGCAGTAGAGAAAATACATTTACAAAAGTCATTAAAAACCAAAAAGAATAAAAGAAAAAAAAAAAACATTAAAATTTCAATTTTCTCCAAACACGTCTCTGGATTCAAGTAATACTAAGGATGGTTGCAAAGCTCCAGGTGCCCTTTATAGAATGTTTAAAGTTAAAACCACAATTTCTGGAATAGCGTTTTCTTTCAGTTGTGACAGTAAATATACAGCCATAAACCTTGTGCTTTCTTTTGAGCGTTAATAAGTGACAGCGAGCAGTAGAGATTAAGGCGGTGATTAAGTAAAGAGACAAGGCGGGCTGAGTGGTGTCACATCACAGGTTACAGAATGTTCAAGGCAATTCATTAAATGTTTATACCCCATCATACAACTAAACGTTTTTATTTTTTTATTTAAAAAAATCCCATTAGATGTTCTCCATGAGCTCATAACTTTATACGACTCAAGCCCAAATCCATAAACTGGCCTATCAGTAGTGACATGAAGAATACTAGTTCTTACATAAGGAGTCTGATAACAGTAGAATAACTCCCTTTTCAAACAGTTAACAGTGATTCACATGTTAACACGAATAAACGTATTAAATCTTAGAAAAGGGCGGCACCATTCAGATTGTCGAGAGGTCTCCGATTAAAAAAACAAGTTTAGGAAAAGCTATAAAAACACCTAACCTAACCGAAGCTCTAAAATGTTAGTATAGAGAATAGAAATGCAGCCCTTTAGCCTGCACACCAGAGCACTTCACCGCTCGACCCGACAAGTCAAGAGGAAGACAGTTAAGACACGAGCAGAACAAACCTACCACCACTTTCAATAATCACATATTTGATAGACAAGTCACAAAAAGCTGCGTCGTTTTTACCGAGCTGTATCAAAATGCTGATCCTAATTTAAATATGTACCAAGTTGCCTTCCACAACCCAAATAAAACACGAAATCCAGCATCACGTCGGCACTCGGACAGCTGAGGCTGGCAGACTACAGATTTCATTCACATTCCAGTGCAGAAGAACGTGAACAACTCACATTTAGACAAATTCTTTGCAGAACAAGACTGGGAACTGACTTTTCTGAACAGACTTAAACAATTTGGATAGAAAATATTGTTTAAAAAGTCTGGATTTAACCAATAGGTTGTCAACTCATCCCCACCCACAACAATAAAATGCACATGACTTTGATCACCACAGCTATAGATTGTACACAGCCTATTGCTAGCTTATCCAAAGGTATTGATCAGCCTGATAACTTTGTAAATAAAACTCTGGATAAATCACCTTGCTTATAACCCCGTCCCCATTAGATAAACTATTCACAAATTATGTACAAATAGCAATTCCTTTTTTTTCTTTGCTTGTCCGAAGCTTTAGAAAGATAGATTGGTTTGTGCTTCTTTAGGTAGGTTTCATGTTATCAACTATAATCTAACCCTGAAGTTTTACAAAAGATAATATTTATGCATCAGAGATTGTCCCTAATATAAGATTGTTATTCTTTTGAAAAATTCTATCTTATATAGCAATTACTGATAGTCAAGTACAGTTGCTGAGTGGTAGTGGCTTGCACGTTGCAGAACAGGAAGCTGATAAAAGACCCAAGATGAATGCGCTAGAAATCCTTTTTTCTTTTTTACTCTTTTAGATTGCCTTTGGATTATTTTGGCACACAATTACAGTGATCGTCATGAGCTTGTGCAAGTTCCAACACAAACATGAAGAGAAACGCCTCGTTTATCCCAGACAGACTGCATAAAGGAAATTCTAACAGCATTCAAGGTTACCTAAAAAAATCTGTAGTTTTGATTTCCAAACATGGGTCTGTCTGCAGTATATTGCATTCTGCTGATGTGAGAGGGAGCTGAATTATCTCTCTTTTCATCTGTAGGATTCAGACAGGCCACAGTCCGTCTTCACACCTGACATTTACATTTCCACTGCCCACTTTTTTTTTTCAACGTCACGATCTAAGCACAAATACAGAAATTTATTTTAATGTAGTTAATGATGACAGAGAACGGGACTCCGTGAGAAGGCGCCGCTGCGCCCCTTTAGCCACACCTCTAGTGTTGGAGTCGGTCAGCCGCACATCTGTCTACGGTCACCTTTGACTGGTGGCTCAGCTGGTGTCTTATTGGATTCCTCCATCCCAGAAACGATGTACAGCTCTTACAGCTCCTGGTGTGCCTATTCAGTGCGGGAGCTGTGACTTTCATGGTGGTTGTTCTCTCCCTCCGTCTCCTGGTGACTAAAGAGGTAGTTCCACCAACTTTTAGAGTGGTGCATCTGTCGGGCCGCCCCTGCGCTCTTCACCTTCCTCATCTCCTAAACGGATGCATGGCACACAGTTAGAACATTGACCTGGAGAGCTTTCCTTTCTTGCAGCCATCTTTGTATTTACCCCTTTATCCAGCAGGCTGTCGAACTCGTCGCTCATCCTTCGGAGCTGCCGGCCGTACTTCTTGGCGGCCCACAGAGCCGGGGGTGCGGACTGGGACCTCCCCCTGAATGGAAATCCTTCAGTGGGAGTCCCGGGCTCCTCTTCACCGCGGGCCAGACCCTCCTCGTCTTTGGAGATGGTGGATACGATGGACTCGGAGTTGAGTCTGATCCGCCCATTTGCTACGTGGGACAAAGAAAAGGTAGCAGAGTTTGTGATGAAACACAGGACAGAAAAATTCTCTTGAAAAGGTATAGCTAATCGTCAAGGTGTTTCACTAAGTACAGAGCTGCCCTAAATGCCAGCCATCCCTCTTTCCTGAGCACTCAAACCCAAACTACTCGATCAGTTGGTGTCCTTAGGCGACATATTATAAAGTTGGATGAAGTGATCAACACTTATTTGAATTCTATCACCTTAGTTTAACAGGATCAATATTTTCAAAATTTTAAGTATAATTCTATTAAACATTATTAATTTTATAATCACTACAATATGAAAGAAAGGTAATTTGAGTCTCATTTGGAAAATAATTAACTTATTGTTGCATATCCATATTTACAAAAGATGAACAATTTCCAGTTTAACCAGAACGGTGCATTGTAGCGGACCATGTGGCAAAAGATTCTCCTACATGTTTCAGCGTTCTGTAACTCCCATAAGTACCTGCTGGCCTGAGCTCAGGTAGAGTGAGGGTCTGGCGTGGGAGGACATGCCCATCCGATCCATCCAAACTCAGGCTTTCTCTCTCCTCTACCTCTTCGGATGGCTCTGAGTCGCTGTCTGAAATGGTGAAGTTTGCAGCCATCGTGACATCTGGAGAAAAATGGTAATAAGAAACTTAAACAACCTAAATGGCCACACATGCTTCTTTGTGAGAAAAACGGTACAAAATCAGAGCAAACATTTAGAACCGGCACAGGATGATGCTCCTGTTGCCCTGGGCTTGACCTCGGTGGGTGAACCACCGGGCAGACATGAGGCTCTTAACCACAGAATGGGAGAACAGTACCGTGCAAAAACTGCAAACAAAGCTAATGTGACAGATTTTTGCCCCAAACATTTAATATCTAAATTGCCCTATCTAAATGTTCAAGACTCATAAAATGGCATCATCTCTTGAAGCCAACTGTGTAACACACCCAGCAGTTTGGCTCTGCTTCCTGATACTGACCAGTCCAAAGGTATTTCACTGGAACAACTACACATACAAACCACCCGGGAAGCCAAAAGACAAGACTTTGATATATACTCTTTGTAAAGATTCTGTTAAATCCGTAATGAACCTTTCTGTGGTCGGCGCCCTGCCTCGCTTGTTCTGTTGTTGTTGACTAAGGAGGACAAAAGAAACTTCCTACAGGGCGGAAGCTGCTGCGGCCAATCTCCTCTAGCTGCGCCTGAAAGAATCCCTCAAAGTAAGTTTCCTTACCCGAAATCTCTATAGCGAGAGCCGAAAAAGTGCGAGCGTGTCTTTATTTGGCTTCATGCGGCCGCAGCTGTTGTTGTTGGTATCCGTGGATTCTCTTTTTACTGTACAATACACTTTAGCTCCGCGCTCACCCAATCGCCGCGCGTCACCGCACCTCCACGGCGCACTGACGTCACTGTTGCGAGCTAGGACTTGTTTGTCTCACTGAGGTACCGTAACGTCCAGAGCAGACGCGCAGAAGGATTGATGGAGTGATTTGAAGAAAGCAGTTTGCCGATTTTATTCATAACTGGGTTTAATTCTACCACCCGTTGCAATTAAAAGTTTCCCCTTTGAGACTTGTAACATGATCAATATAAGTACCAATACTGTCTGGCCAGCTTGCTTATTAATTAATGTAAGGGAAGTATGTAACTTTATGTAATTGTTGCATTAATACATATTGCACATAATAATCACACGATCATTCTATCTTTTGTTAAACTTTTCGAAGATAATTGTCTGATTAGAATGAATTGAAGTTGCATTTGTTTTATATTATATCATCTAGTCAGTAGAGGTGCTTTTATTTTGAAATATAAGGTCTCTTGTGAGAACTCGCGTGTGTCTGAAGGAAGAGGGAGAGGCAATTAGGCAGTCATTAAGGATTTTTGCACGTTGATCAAAGATCATCTTGAAGATTTTCGACAATTCCCTATTTTCTGGCAGCATTAAGCCAACGACTTATTTGGTTGATTTGTTTACTCTGTAAATGTTGTTTAATATGCTCTGCAAGTTGTTATTTGCCCCATTAATGTTTATGCTTTGTCAACATGATTTAGTTTTGGATTTGGAGAGACCAAGAGCGACTTCAAATAAATCAGTAGAGAAAACCACTTGAAATTACACTTCAGGTTACATTGTGCAAGATTACATTATATTTCTGTATAAGTCCATCAAACTGAAAATGTACAGTGAATAATTGTAAGTGTATTTTCTTTTAAGTAAAATTAAGATTAAACATTTTTTTCTTGACACTTCAAAGACTTCCTTTAACTGTAAACTGCATAAAACACACAAAGATCAGATTTGACTAAGTCTTACAGATTGTTACCAGGCAAATGTTCAGTAAGGCCATTATATCAATTTGACTGATTTGTAAACCCTTTTTCCTTTTTTGTTTCCTAATAAAAAAAATTCAGGAAAACAGAAAATGTGAAACATTTAGTTGTCATTCCTAGTGCCAGCAGCAGATGGGGAGGTCGGGCAACAAACGGAACCTCTCAGAGTGATGCTGATCTCTGCATCTTTTCAGTTCTACAGTTTTTCAAACTTTCCAATTGTTATCCGTCTATTGTTTCTCTCTTATACTTTCCTCAAATTTGAAAGGGAAAGTCAAACATGTAACTTGACTTGTAACTGTTGATATTTTATGCTGCCCCTTTGTGTCTCCATCACTGCTCTCTCCACTGTTTTGCCTTAGGAGGAGGTTCGTAACAAAATGAATGAAAAATCAAAACTTGAACAGGTGAGACAAACGGTGTTTGTGGAGGATTTGAAACATCATAATTGCAGCTTCCACTGATTTTGTAATGCATCTGAAAAATAAAAGAGTTTTTGAAGTATGGATGAACAGACAAATTTTGTTCGGTCAGCTTTTCTCAGTATGTTGGTCTGTATGTACACAGCAGCTCTCGTAAAGTCACACTTCCTTTAGCTTCTTGTGAGGGATTACGTCGCAATAACACCAGAGTTTTTGGTTGGATTTGGGTGTTGTTAAAAGGCATGAAATTATGATCCATTTTTAATCTGTTTATGTGTGTGTGTTTGTCTTTAAAGTTAGCATCCGTTAGTGTGTGTGAGTGAGAAAAACTTAAACTTTCTCATATGAGCAGGGTCATTTTTACACATACATAGACACACAGGAGTGTGTGTGCATATGTTTGTAGGATTTAAGTACAGTCTGAGGGAGCCATACAATTAAGATCCATTTATATCGTCCTGTACCAACCTCGCCCTGCCTCCCTGCCCCTCATCTGGTGGTTATTTTGGGAAATGGAGGCGTATGCATTCCCCCAATGTCCCAAACTACCACTCAGCGTGTGAGTGGAAGTGTGTGGCAGTTTGAAAGCAAAGACAGAAGCAATTCTAAGCTTCCCGTAGAATTGCTCCTTTCAATTTGGGGCCGGGCACTGACTGTCTGTCCTTGCCTCAGCTGCACTCGCTGCTCTCTAAAATATTTGACCTGCTACGCAGGCCCAGTTGATGCCTGAGGACGGCATGGAGCCAGTTTGGATTTGTCTTGTCTGGATGGGAAATTCACCCGAAGTTCGTTGTGCATGATAGAAATGTTGATAAGGAGAGATGGGCAGATGAGCTGCAAAAAGTGATATATGAATGATAAAAGATGTGAGAATTCTTTAATGAAAATAGTAAGCTAACAGAACAGCAAAGGTGGCAAATCTGCCAGTGAAAGAAATGTGAGAGACATGTGGAAAGCAGACAAAACCTGCATCAGTGCGGATACACTTTTGTGGTCTGCTTAAGTTGCTCCAGCTCTTTCATCGCTGTTCCCTGATCATACTCATTATACACGGACTACTCCCTTGCTCAACTATATGATCACAAGGAAAACATATGGCACCCTTTTTACAGTGAGCTGCTCCTATAACCCAGCTCCTCATGTTTGGGAATCTATAAAAATGTAGTAGTCTTTTTTGTTAGAGGTGGAAAATCTGCCTGTCAGACCCCCTGAGAATCACTAGAACAGATAGTCTTCACTCAAGTAAAACTACAGAATCCTGCATGAGATCCACATCCCAGCAGAAGCACAAGCAGTAAGACGTACTGAAATATTTCGAGTAAAAGCAGTGGTTTAGCCTCTGACGTGTATATGAGATTAAATTAAAGATAAGCACTTGTCAGGGAGCAGCCTGTTCCAGTTAGGGCTGCTGGTGGACAAGTAAGTTCAAAGTGACACTAAAAGCTCACACACATTTCAGTTAAACACTATGGGCTGAAGGTTAAAAACACTTTAGGTATTGTAATGAATCTCTGTCAAAGACTTTAATCAGGACACAGCCACTCACTCCTTGCGGAATAAAGGTCAGAGCTCAGTCTTTTAAACCCTCAATTATAATCACTTCTGCTCAGGCTTCCTGCAGTTGGGCTGGTGTGAGTGTGTTCTGAGAGCTACTGCTAATGTGTCTGGTACACATGTTCTCCATTTGATCCTAAAGGTGTCTTCTTGTCCATGCTTGCCGTTGGGTTCTCTAATGATTCTTGATGGCTGGTTAACACACAGTGTTGTGGGCTATTTTGATTTGCTGTCTCATGTGGAGGTTTGTTTCTTTTAGTGTTTACCTTTAACGGCATAACAATGTGAAATATAGATGTGCACAGTTTTAGGTTTTGAATAATTCACCATCTACTGCTCCCAAATAATAGATTATTTATTGAACATGAGCTATAAAGGCAATATGATCATTGGCACAATTCTGCTTCATGTGGCGGCCGTTGGTTCAGCTTATGTTTTGCTATCAGTTCAGTCCCAGACTTAAAGCATGACAGCAACCAATTTGAACCGCATGGAAGAATCACCATATGCTAGAGAAACTAAAAGAGTTTGGTAGTGATATGGAAGGTAAATTGTAAAAGTGGAGTACACACACACAAAAAAAACTAAAAACACACAAGAATGGGGAAAGTGTTCACTTTTCTTAGATTTACTGAGAACAGCTATTTTAATTGTTGTATTTGTTTTTTGCATTGAGAGCTCAACATTTATTTCACAATTTGTTTTTTAGGTAGGAGTTGTATTCTTAAAATCTATTAAACATGCAGCCCCAACTTAATTTTCATTACTTTATCCCCAAACAATTTTATCCTGAAGTAAATCCACTGGAGTTACATTTTCTCCGTCCTCCTCATACATCAGAAGTTGTCCATCAATAGACACTGCTATTTTTAGTTAGCTCAATTTGACAAGAAAACTGAATGAAGTGGCACTGTACAAACTACACCCCCCCTCCCCCACCATTCTACTTTCACTCCTCCATTTTTTGCAGTTTCACTTCTGTGTCCCATCCCTCCCCGTCCCCCATATTTTCCCTCCCACTGGTATCTGGGTTGCTGACTGAACTAGTTCACCAGGAGCTTCCTTGCTGATGGCGTCATGGCCTGTGTTTAATTAATGCTGTTTGACAGAAACAATCTGCTTGTTGGATTTAGTTGGCTGGTTACAAAACCTCCAGTTGAAAAAACAGAAAGAGGAAGGAGTTAAGAATCACTGGTAAGTTAAACTTTTTTGTTTTTGTTTGGAAGAATGTGATTTGCTGTTACTGAACTTCCTGTTTGGAGATCATATTTTCCATGTATAAATTGGTATGAGAAATATCTTT